CTACTGTTTATTAAGACAGGTTTCAGTTGCCATTCCGCCCGTGGATTATCTAAAGAATATTTTATAACCTCACTCTGCTTATGCTGTTTTACTAACTCACTTTTCTCACAAACTCATTTTTTATTTCTGCAAACTGGACGTACTCATATGACACGAATCCTGGTCCGCTAAATTTATGCTTTTCCGAATGAATTCTCCTTTAATAAATGTAATAGTATTTTTGTTGTTTTGTTGCCTCCACTTAGGGTGGAGACTGTTGTGTTTTTGGGTGTTCCAGTTAAACTGCTTAGGCTGATTTGAGACCTAAAAGGAATTTGAGGGGAATTTCGCGGTGTGTCAACTGTTGTCCCTCTATCCTATTTTTAAACCCACTCTTGCGGAGTACGTCTAAAATCCTCATTTTGCTTATTTAGATTTGGATCCGTCATTCTTAAACATAGTGACGCCTAGTACTATCTTGTCATTTTCTTCTTTAATATTCTTCCCAAATTTTTATTGTCCGTCGGATCGCGTAGTATAATTGTATCCATCTTCTATTCCGCCTTGGGTTGTGGCATCCATGTCCGTTGCATCTATTTTGGAGCTTGGTTTTCAAGAACTCGTGTACATTCTTGCTTTTAAAGTGTGTAAGAAGATTAGCTAGTTTATACAATTTATATAATCAGGTTCTTGGAACTAACTTTACTCCTTAAATAAATGCCGCAAAGTAACATTTTTCGCCCATCAAGACGCCTTAGACATCCGATATGTTAGCAACCTTTGACGAGAATGGTCTGCATAAAAGTATTGGCTCAGCTCTTTGTGCACTAAAAAGATAGATCGTTCAATTTTTTAATGAGGTATGGGTAAAAATATGAATTGTTTTGACCTCTTGAGTTGTTGGTTCTGATAAGGCAGACTGGATCCATTGGGCGTCGTTTAGCCCAATCGAAAAACTTGTACAGTCGTGTCCCCGTAGGTCACCCGCATGAATGATCCAGGTGTATAGGTGACAAAGCTGTAATATAAAGATGAAAAAAACCTTAGAGATGAGATTAATAACTTAAATTAGATCTGGCATTGAAAGTTCAAATATCAAAAGTGCCCGGCTATATGCTTCACTTGGAGAGGTGTAAAGCTCCCATCTGACGCAACTCTACTTTTGAAATCTGGCATTTGCTCTGGTATAGTCTGTTAGTTTAAAGAAATATTTGCTGAATTTTTTGTTTGCTTCAAAAACTTCTGGTATTTATACTCCATAACTAAAAACAATACGACTCATCAATTTACCTACATGGCTAGCTTTAACTACTCAGGGCTGTTGTAATATTGTTTGGAAGTTCCAAACACATTTAACCTCGTTTGGAAAGTTTTCATTAAACGAGAGCGGGCCGGTGAAGACCTACCAGGCAAAGTCGGTCCCAATGATGCAATGCCAGTACAACTGCCCCATCGTGTTGTCCAGTTCCTCTTTAATATCCTGAGCCAACTGTCCCTTTTGTGAATCTGCATTCTTTAGACGGTTGCTAATTATTTCCAGGATTTGGTTGCGCTCTTCGGTTTTGATGTCCGTCTTTTCTACTATCACGATGGGGGGCATTGGCTCCATGTCTTCAACAAAAGCTCCACGAGTCTCCATCTTGCGTATCGCGTCGAGGGTGACTTGGACAAGGAAATGACTGCAACTTATCTACCGACTTTAACGCACTAGACAGGACTGCCAATTGGAAAGTGTCTGCCAATCATAAGACCAAGACAGAGGTAGACGTGGGTGTTGCAGCCTACCTCCACATGTTGGTGGCGTGTGGCATAGTGCTCGCAGAGGGAAAACTGAGCAAGCCTCTTTTTTGAGAATGAACACTGCACAGGATGACTGTCTTTCTGAAAACTATGGAAATAAGTGAAAGCAGAAGGCAGCTGCCAACCCGATCATTAATAATTCGCAGTTTTAAACTATAAAACTAACAGAGTGCTAATTTACACAGCTTGGCCTAACACCGCACGGATTTAGACGTCAGTCGTATGCGATCGGTCCTTTCGCAATCAGTATCCGAACAACTATGAGGATTTTAGATTTGCCCTGATTAAAAACTATGTAAAGTGTAGCCATCATATTTTTCGAAGGTAAATAAGACCTCATAAGAATGTCTCTAAAAAACTCGGTAGCGACTGGATCTGCTAGTTTTTCAGGATCAGTTTTATAACTGCTTTGTTTTAAACCAAATTTATTTAAAAAATCCCTTTAAACACAGGATTTTGACTCAGCTGACCGAAAAAGCTAGAGATTTTAGGATTTGGTGACATTTATCCGAAAGTAAAATAAGAAGCTACGAGCATCTCAATGGAAACATCAGCAAAGGCATGCAAAAAAGGATATTTGGAAGGTGATTGGTTTTGGCTGCTTCTGAAATGGTGAACTAATGCAAATTATGCTGACCCTCTCAACGCCATTGTAGCTTTCGCCAGCAATTTAGGCTATGTCCTTGTAGACATCGGAAATTGGCTTGCTAATCACTGACTATGGGTATTAGCTAAGAACACAGGCACGTGCTTAGTATGATTTTTTCATAAAACCGAAGTTATCAGATCGCGACTTGCAGTTCGCCGATAGAAGCATTTTCCAGAACAAAAAACCGTATTCGCCTAGCTTTTCGAATTCATGTTTGAACCCATCATCAGCGACAGCATTAAGTACTGTCGCCAGCGATACATTCGAGTACGACCCGAAAAGCCAAGTGTGTTTTCTTAATTTCGGCCTGCAATTTATTTGGAAAAAGACCAGATTGCCATAAATTTGCCTTTTGTTTTTTATTTTATTCTGCTTATAGTAAGAGCCATCCCAATTAAATATTTTCATCTTATTTGCTGCTTACTTCGGAAAAAAGCTTAGGCATAGGAGAAATAGGAAATATGACCTCGTCGGAAATAATTATTTTCGGCTGCACATTTCCCATTGTTATTATATTGACCATTGTATATGCCCACATTGTTAAACTCATAGGTTACATTACGCCCGTTCGCTGCGGTTGTCGATCTGCATCTAAGACGTTTTTCTTGCAATTTTAACAAAACCACAGCCAAAACCTAAGTACTAGTGGTAGTAAAGTACTGGTTAGTCAAGTGGATATCCTATACGTTGTTTGTTATTCAGAATTGCCCTGCTAAGCGCGAGGTCGAGAAGTTAGAGGTCCAGGTTCACCTAAGAAAACGTGTTTTCGGTTTCAAAAGTTCAAATTTATGAGAGAAATCTAATCCAAAAATGTTTTTATACCTATTAGATCGTGACATTAACCAAAGTAGACCTGTATGTTGGTGTTTGCGTTTTAAAATGACGTTTATTCCCGGGAAAATCTTTAAGAAAACTAGTCTGGTCACTCCGTGAACAGTCATCTTACATGCTGTTGGGCTATACACTAGAGGTCCGCATATTAAAATCTACACTCAATAACACTTTCGTCTACAAGTGAATGGCTGCTGGTACATTTTTAATTCCCTGCAAGTCACTTAGTCCTAAACACCCTCTTCGACTTATTGAGGTTTCTTAGTGGCTACTTACTGGTCTGGTGCGGGATTGACTCCGTTTTGTATCCTAAAACATTGCAGAACCCAATGCTGTTTTTTTCGTTTTATAAAATAAAAACAGTTCTAAAATGCTTACCCGTTGTCATTTTGCACTGCATTTACGCTTTGCTAAAGTTTTTAATTAAGATTGAGGCTGTTTTGGCAAAAATGTATGTTTCCCGGAGTTGATAATTTAGGTAACGAATGAACTGAAGAACAAGGTAAAAATGATCCTAAACTGCGGCTTCTATAGTGTCTCGACGACAATTTTAGCTGTCATTACGACCAAAAGACCTTATTATTAAATTATTTATTTTATCCTAGATGGACGCTACACGTTCCCTTTGGGTATGATTCGTCTTAAACTAATGAGAGTGTTGATTTAACTAGATGTTATTTGGAAACATAATTCCATCGCACACGAAGGTCCCAATAACCATATTGATCCGTCCTATCGTCAATGACCGCGAAATGTTAAAATAATAAGGGACTTGTCATACGACCTGTGACTCTTCTCAGCAAAAATTGTCGGATTGGCTTAAGATTTATTTATTCTCTAAAAGATCGAATTCTGTACAAATTATTTATGTCGAAACCCATAGAAACTCATCCAAAAGCACTATTCCATCCCATGCTGGCCTTCTGCAATTTTTATCGGTTAAACGAAACACTTGAGAGGTCTAATTGCTCAAGACACTTTTCTGTGGCTTTGTGGTGGAAGTATAAGAATTCTAGGAGCTCGCATGCCATTTACTCCATACATCCCACTGAAGTTTTTTGCAGTCACAATAATCGAGTGAATTTAAACCAGACGTGCATCCGCCCTCATATAACTCCGCCAAAATTCTCGAAATTTTCCTAAGATAAACTTTTGGTTTATAGTCGTGCAGACAGCTACATTGTTCTCAGCAAGAAAAATATTGACGCATTGATAATAGGTACACACCCTACACAAGCGCTCCTAATTTAGCTGCAATTCTTTGATTTAACCAAGAGTGGCTTTTTCGTTTGAAGTTACTAGAGTACAGCATGGCGAGTCCAGTAGTCATTCAGGGCCTGCATGCAACTGGCGTCTAGTGACTCCCACAACTCAATTTCTAAAGACCTCACGCTTGGGGCGTATTAATTAGATCTAAATTCCGCTGCTGAATGACTGAGCCAGGGGTCAAAGCCCCATAAACTCTGGTCGACAGAACTCAGAGTTCCTAAGGAAACATTCGGCTATAAAGGACATTTACGTTATGTCCGACTTCGAAGGTCTAGGCCATAGCTCTTTATTTTCAAGTGTCACCCCCTCGTGCCTGGGGTTGACGGATGCAAGATTAATAATAATGATAATATGAAGAAAGAATTTGTCACTTATTTATTGCACATTATGCCTGCAGACTCTTTGATTAGCGACTGATACTACCAGTGAAATTTCAGACGAGGACAAAAGTCTAGAAGTGAGATGGAAATAAACGCCTCTTCATCCCTGCATCTGACGGGATATGTGGTTTCAACTTCCAGTGGGCTTCTGCATAAGAAGTACAGTGAGGCATTAGAATTTTTACTGGTTATATCAGCTTCAAACAGCGAGTTTCTGCCTGTAAAAGACTAAAGATGACTGAACTAAGTTTGGAGAAATACTTCTACTCGTCTGTGTGTCTTAGCTTCCTTTGACATAGTCTGTTTTCTGAGAAGAAACAAAGCAAATATCTTAATTGCGATATCTCATTTTGCAGGTTCGGACCATTTACTAACCATCTTCTTCACCATTCCTGTTGACTTATCTTTTTAAAGTTGGGGAATCGAAACGTGGATAAGACCACTCGTCACTGTTATGCACCCAGTTTTTGTTTATTCAAGAAGTTGAAAAATTAACCCGGGGTAATTGCTAAGTCAAAAAACCATCGTTCAGGCCCCGGAGGACCTAGAATTAGGTGCTGGCACAGTCTTTGGTGATCAGTGCTCATGTCTTATTAGTAGGATTTCCTTTTTAAAAGTGGTTGCATGTCGAAACATGAGTTTGTTTCTATGTTTCACTATTGGATTGTTGCTAGGAACTTGGCCTACTTGATAGTTTTGTGTTATCATCTTCCTGAAGGTCGATATGCAATTTTGGACTCTCGAGGTTCTTCGAGCGACTTTGTCGACTGTCGAGTCATGTTCGCAAGCGTTTTAGTTGACCCATCTGGTTTAGGGATTGTCTGTTTGCCCCTTTCACGTGTTTTCTCGAGTTTGTTGTGCTCAGCAGCTGGAAATATGGGGTGATTTCTATCCCCCAATTTTCTAACCCAAATCAAAATATATTTAACCACCCTTTCCTAGTGATTATCACTAACTATTCACTTTCAGCTGAATACGGTTTTTTGGGGTTTGTTCGGACAGATATTTGTTCATTCACAAACATACCTCGTATCGAGATGTTTCTTAGCCGACTAAAAGACTGTCCTTTAACTAAACGTCCGGTAATATCAAGTTCCTTAACTGATACTGAATGTAGTACCAAGGTTCGCTTATGCAATTCATATCAAGTCAGAGAATATAAAAGTCTGATAAGTGAAACTAAATATTTCAGATAGATTAACGACTCCTAGAAACGTGTATGCGCGTCCTCCTGGACTGTAAATACATCCTTGGAGGGGTTTCACGCGTTTATTATGTATTAGAAGGGTTTGAGTCAGTCACAATAGTGCGGAATGTAGCTATCTTCAACGGAGTATGTAAGGAACCAAGCAACGGGCTTTTTTTATCAAGAAAAAGATATTTTCTGTACTTTGTTTACCCCCTACAATCTTCCCACGCGAAGGCCAGCTCACGCGTTTTTATCAAGCAAAAAGGGGAAGTTTTATAACATAAACCTACATGTGGAATGTGTTATATGAATAAAGTCAACTGGGTCTCTAGAGAGAAACTTTTGAGAATTTACATGTGATGGCACGTAACTTCTAAACGGATGGCGCATGATTAAAAGCGAACCCCTACTGCTTGAACCCGTAGACGTCTTCCAGCCAGATGTTTAACAGAGTATTCGCAAGGGTTTGGGACAACCTTTCCTACCTGAACTGCATCGTCTTTTTGGCTTGAATTCCACAC